CCAGATACAGTGAAGACACCTGCCCTTGTGCTTTGCTACTCTGCTGCTGAGTACTCTCCCCACAAAGTGGATGTGTCTCTTAATGAGACGTGCTGCATTATCACAGGATGTCTATGCCCAACATAGACATAAAATGATGACTAAAATGATCAAGGGTCTGGAGAACAAGCCCTATGAGGAGCGGCTTAGGGAACTGGGCATGTTTAGCCAGAAGAAGAGAAGGCTGAGAGGAGATATGATAGCCATGTATAAATATGTGAGAGGAAGCCACAGGGAGGAGGGAGCAAGCTTGTTTTCTGCTTCCCTGGAGACTAGGACGGGAACAATGGCTTCAAACTACAAGAGAGGAGATTCCATCTGAACATGAGGAAGAACTTCCTGACTGTGAGAGCCGTTCAGCAGTGGAACTCTCTGCCCCGGAGTGTGGTGGAGGCTCCTTCTTTGGAAGCTTTTAAGCAGAGGCTGGAGGGCCATTTGTCAGGGGTGATTTGAATGCAATATTCCTGCTTCTTGGCAGGGGGTTGGACTGGATGGCCCATGAGGTCTCTTCCAACTCTTTGATTCTATGATTCTATGATTCTATGAACACCGCTGGAGAAATTATACTGTTTAGCCAGTATTGCACCACCAGGCATCTGTCGGGAAGTAGCAGGCAGCAATGAAATGACCAAGGCATTGTCATCTCCGGCCCATCCTCTGTTCAGATATTAGTCAGCATCCTAATGCCTTAAATCAACTTCTTGAGATCGAGAGAGATACTTGCAGAAACACCTCAGCAAGCGAGAGTCCAAAAGTGGCAGGCTAAAACCCGAAACCTCAATCCATGGCTGATAGTGGATGAGAGGCTGGGTTGTTGTAGGTTTTTCAGGCTGTATGGCCATGTTCTAGAAGCATTCTCTCCTGACGTTTTGCCTGCATCTGTGGCAAGCATCCTCAGAGGTTGTGAGGATGAGAGGCTCCTTCCTGGGTACATGGAGGACGGGGCGACCTGAAAAGTGCTAAACAGGCTGCTCTCTGGCACCAGATATTAGTTTCACACTGAGTGGAGGTCATTGGTGGTGGTTCACGGGTGGGGGGCTATTTAAAAACAAAAGGAAAAAGAGCACCTCTTCCTGTTGTCGGCATCCCTGCAAAAGTGCTCAGGTTGACTCCTGATCTGAGATGCTTCCCTCCTGCCGTGAGATGATGCACGAACCAAACAACAACAGCCAGGTTGCACACATTTCCTTGTGGCAGCACAGAGCCCCATCCCCGTGGTTGCTATGTCAACATACATTTGCGTCTCTCTCTTCTGAAAAGCAATTGCAAAACAAGACAAAGCTGTGGCTGCTGCATTTCGGTGCAAATGGGATCCTGAAGGAGAGCTGAAAGGCACATCTGAGCCTTTCAGAATACTGCTGGAACAGGGCCATGCAGTCCAAAAGACTTACAGCAAACCAACGAGATAAATGGAGAGGCCAGGCTTTATTTCACACACATACACACTTATATATACACTCCATTTGCCTCACTGCCAATAAACCTCTGAGGATGTCATCAGCCACAGATGCAGGCGAAATATCAGGAGAGAATGCTGCTGGAACAGGGCCATGCAGCCTGAAAAAATTAGAGCAACCCAATGAGATGATGATAGAGGGACCAGGCATTATTTCACTATACACACATACATACATACTCCACTTGCTTTATTGCCCACAGACCTCTGAGGATGCAATTAGCCACAGATGCAGGCAAAATGTCAGGAGGGAATGCTGCTGGAACAGGGCCATGCAGCCCGAAAAACTTAGAGCAACTCAATGAGGTGATGATGGAGAGACCACGCATTATTTCACAGATACACATACATACATACTCCACTTGCTTCATTGTCCACAAACCTCTGAGGATGTCATTAGCCACACATGCAGGCAAAACATCAGGAGAGAATGCTGCTGGAACAGGGCCATGCAGCCCGAAAAACTTAGAGCAACCCAATGAGGTGATGATGGAAAGAACGGCATTATTTCACAGATACACATACATACATACTCCACTTGCTTCATTGGAGGGACCAGGCAATATTTCCCAGATATATATGTGTGTGAGTGTGTGTGTGTGTGTATGCTGGTACCTACATACTTACTGGTACATAAATCTGCTGGTACATACATACACATACATACATACAGGAGCCCCCGGTGATGCAGTGGGTTAAACTGCTGAGCTGCTAAACTTGTTGACTGAAAGATTGCAGGTTTAAATCTGAGGAGTGGGGTGAGCTCCTGCTGTCAGCCCCAGCTTCTGCCTACCTAGCAGTTCAAAAATATGCAAATGTGAGTAGATCAATAGGGAATGCTCCGGCAGGAAAGTAGTGGCACTCCATGTGGTCATGCCGCCCACATGACCTTGGAGGCATCTACAGACAACGCCGGCTCTTCAGCACCAACTCCCAGAGTCGGACATAACTAGGTGTAATGCCAGGGGAAAACCTTTACCTACCTTATAGAATGATAGAATCAAAGAGTTGGAAGAGATCTCATGGGCCATCCAGTCCAACCCCCTGCCAAGAAGCAGGAATATTGCATTCAAATCACCCCTGACAGATGGCCATCCAGCCTCTGTTTAAAAGCTTCCAAAGAAGGAGCCTCCACCACACTCCGGGGCAGAGAGTTCCACTGCTGAACGGCTCTCACAGTCAGGACGTTCTTCCTAATGTTCAGATGGAATCTCCTCTCTTGTAGTTTGAAGCCATTGTTCCGCGTCCTAGTCTCCAAGGAAGCAGAAAACAAGCTTGCTCCTCCTCCCTGTGGCTTCCTCTCACATATTTATACATGGCTATCATATCTCCTCTCAGCCTTCTCTTCTTCAGGCTAAACACGCCCTGCTCCTTAAGCCGCTCCTCATAGGGCTTGTTCTCCAGACCCTTGATCATTTTAGTGGCCCTCCTCTGGACACATTCCAGCTTGTCAATATCTCTCTTGAATTGTGGTGCCCAGAATTGGACACAATATTCCAGGTGTGGTCTAACAAAGGCAGAAGAGAAGGGTAGCATGGCTATACTCCTATTGATGCAGGCCAAACTCTCATTGGCTTTTTTTTTTTGCTGCCACATCCCATTGTTGGCTCATGTTTAACTTGTTGTCCACGAGGACTCCAAGATCTTTTTCACATGTACTGCTCTTGAGCCAGGCATCCCCCATTCTGTATCTTTGCATTTCGTTTTTCCTGCCAAAGTGGAGTATCTTGCATTTGTCACTGTTGAACTTCATTTTGTTAGTTTTGGCCCATCTCTCTAATCTGTCAAGATCGTTCTGAATCCTGCTCCTGTCCTCTGGACTATTGGCTATCCCTCCCAATTTGGTGTCGTCTGCAAACTTGATGATCCTGCCTTCTAACCCTTCAGCTAAGTCATTAATAAAGATGTTGAACAGGACCGGGCCCAGGACGGAACCCTGCGGCACTTCTTTCCAAGAGTCGAAGAGGAAGCATTGGCTCCCGTCTCTGGCGTTCGTTCTGCATAACAATTTTACAGCCACCTCACCGTAGTTTTGCCTAGCTCACATTGGACTAGTTTCCTTGCCAGAAGGTCATGGGGGACCTTGTCGAAGGCCTTACTGAAATCCAGGTACGCTACATCCACGGCATTCCCCGCATCTACCCAGCTTGTAGCTCTATCGAAGAAAGAGATCAGATTAGTCTGGCATGACTTGTTTTTGATAAATCCATGTTGACTATTAGCGATGACTGCATTTGTTTCTAAGTGTTTGCAGACCGCTTCCTTAACAATCTTTTCCAGAATCTTGCCGGTATCGACGTGGCGCAACTGGCGCACAAGTTTTAACTGTGCGAATGCTCCCCTGGTCACCGCCGAAACCTGGGGTTCCAGGCTCAGCGATGAGTCCAGGATCACACCCAAGCTGCGAACCTGCGTCTTCAAGGGGAGTGCGACCCCATCCAACACAGGCTGTAACCCTATGCCCTGTTCGGCCTTGCGACTGACCAGGAGTACCTCTGTCTTGTCTGGATTCAATTTCAATTTGTTCGCCCTCATCCAGACCGTTACAGCGGCCAAGCACCGGTTCAAGACCTGGGCAGCCTCCTTAGTAGCAGGTGGAAAGGAGTGACAGAGTTGGACATCATCCGTACAGATGACACCGTACCCCGAAACTCCGGATGATCTCCCCCAGCGGCTTCATGTAGATGTTAAACAACATGGGAGACAATATTGAGCCCTGAGGAACCCCACAAGACGATGGTTGTGGGGTTGAACAGCTGTCCCCCAACAACACCTTCTGAGATCGACCCTCTAGGAATGACCGGAGCCACTGCAAAACAGTACCTCCAAGACCCATCCCCACGAGGCGTCCCAGAAGGATACCGTGGTCGATGGTATCGAAGGCCGCTGAGAGGTCCAGCAGCACCAACAGGGACACACTCCCCCTGTCGAGCTCCCGGCGCAGATCATCCACTAAGGCGACCAAGGCTGTCTCGGTACCATGTCCCGGCCTAAAGCCAGACTGTGCCGGGTCTAGATAATCCGTATCTACCAAGAATACCTGGAGTTGTGAGGCCACCACACGTTCCAAGACTTTGCCCAAGAAGGGGAGATTGGAAACTGGCCAATAGTTGTCGAATTTAGTGGGGTCCAGTGATGGTTTGGGTGTGACGGCACACCTCTGAAGATGCCATTAGCTACAGATGCAGGCGAAACGTCAGGAGAGAATGCTGCCGGGACCCCTTCCACACAGCTGTATAAAATCCAAATTGAACTGGATTATATGGCAGTGTGGATTTAGGTAACGCAAGGCCCTTCCACACAGTCCTATATATCCAAGGCAGAAAAATCCCACATGTATCTGCTTTGAACTGGGTTATGTGAGTGCACTTTCCAAACAGGGCCTAGGATGGGAGGATGCTAACCTTGGGCTGCATCCCCCTCTGCCTATTGAACTACATTTCCCAGGAAGCGCTTGGAGGCGCTGCGGAGGGCGCCCTCTGGCGGCGGGAGGCGGGACAGCGCGCTGTCTTTGCGTTGGGAGCCAGTCAAAGCAGTCAGTGCTGCAGCAGGAGGAGGAGGAGGAGGAGGCGAGCCTATGGATTAAGCGGGAGGAGAGAGAGGGAGAGACGGGGAAGGGAGCCCTTGTTGCAGGCCTGGGGGAGCTGGCCCGGGCTTGAGCCTCCCCAGCAGACTCTCTTGTATTGGGACCAGTGTTTGGCCCGCTCCCTGGCGGGGCTGCTAAGCGGGCGCAGCCATGGGCAACCGGGGGATGGAGGACCTCATTCCCTTGGTCAACCGGCTCCAGGACGCCTTCTCCGCCATCGGGCAGAATGCCAACCTGGACCTGCCCCAGATTGCCGTGGTCGGCGGGCAGAGCGCCGGGAAGAGCTCCGTCCTGGAGAATTTCGTCGGCAGGTCAGTCTCTCTATGCATCTCTCTATTTATGTGCATGGCAATCTCTCTCTATCTCTATCTGAGCCTGCTTTCTCCATGCAGAATGGCTCCCTCTAGTGGCAGTGCAAGGGATGGTGGAGAGGATGAATGCAAGGCTTCCATCCCGGCTCCATCCATCCATTGCAGATGCTCCCTGGTGCCAGCACCAACCCTAGGAGACAGGCCTGTGATTGACAGTCGGTGTTGCCTAGCAACCCCACCCCACCCTCTCCCTCCTTCCTTCCCTCCCCAAGCACAGGCATTGCTTTTCTGCAAATCTCCAGGGTAATAATAATAATAATAATAGTAATAATAATAATTCAGAAATTAAATTGGGAATAAATATTAATAATAATTGGATTTTAATTCAGAAATTAAATTGGGAATAAATAATAATGATCATGATAATTGGATTTTAATTCAGAAATTAAATTGGGAATAAATAATAACGATCATCATAATTGGATTTTAATTCAGAAATTAAACTGGGAATAAATAATAACGATCATGATAATTGGATTTTAATTCAGAAATTAAATTGGGAATAAATAATAATGATCATGATAATTGGATTTTAATTCAGAAATTAAACTGGGAATAAATAATAACGATCATGATAATTAGATTTTAATTCAGAAATTAAATTGGGAATAAATAATAATAATAATAATAATAATAATAATGATAATTGGATTTTAATTCAAAAATTAAATTGGGAATAAATAATAATAATAATGGTAATTGGATTTCAATTCAAAAATTAGATTGGGAATAAATAATAATAGGATTTTAATTCAGAAATTAAATTGGGAATAATAATAATCATCATCATCATCATTTGGATTTTAATTCAGAAATTCATCATCATCAGGATTTTAAGTCAGAAATTAAATTGGGAATAAATAATAATGATCATGATAATTGGATTTTAATTCAGAAATTAAATTGGGAATAAATAATAATGATCATGATAATTGGATTTTAATTCAGAAATTAAATTGGGAATAAATAATAATAATAATGATAATTGGATTTTAATTCAAAAATTAAATTGGGAATAAATAATAATAGGATTTTAATTCAGAAATTAAATTGGGAATAATAATAATCATCATCATCATCATCGTCATTTGGATTTTAATTCAGAAATTCATCATCATCAGGATTTTAAGTCAGAAATTAAATTGGGAATAAATAATCATCATCATAATCATTTGGATTTTAATTCAGAAATTAAATTAGGAATAAAATCATCATCATAATTTGGATTTTATTTCAGAAATTCATCATCATTATCATCAGGATTTTAATTCAGAAATAAATTTGGGAATAAATAATAATCATCATTTGGATTTTAATTTAGAAATTAAATTGGGAATCATCATCATCATTTGGATTTTACTTCAGAAATTATTCATCATCATCATCAGGATTTAATTCAGAAATTAAATTGAGAATAATAATAAATAAAATAATAATAATCATTAATTTAATTCAGAAATTAAATTGGGAATAATAATAAATAAAATAATAATAATAATAGGATTTTAATTCAGAAATTAAATTGGAAATAATAATAATTTGGATTTTAAATCAGAAATTACATTGGGAATAATAATAAGAATTCTATTTGGATTTGAATTCAGAAATTAAAATGGGAATAATAGTAAAAATAAGCAGCAGCCATTCTAGGTTTAGGGAGAAGCATGCCTGTGTTTCCTTCTGTTTTTCCTTCTGGAGGGAGGATGGAGGAGAGGACATATAAACATATAATAATAATAATAATAATAATAATAATAATTTATTAATAGGCCTCCCTATCTCCCCAAGGGAACTCAGGGCAGCTTCCAAACAAAAGAAAGAAAGAAAGAAAGGCAAACACTCAATACCTTGATAGAAAAGATCCACAAAAATCAAGCAGGAAAAATAATAATTATACATTAATAATTGCTCAGCCAAAAAATTATAATTAATAATTGGATAAACATAATGATCTAAACAGACACATAAAGACCATAAAAACCTCAATGACAAGAATGCACAAAAATATGTAAATTATTTAAAATTATATATATATATATATATATATATATATATTATTTATTAACTGCCTTTCTTTTTACCCTGCTCTATCTCAACCTTGGAGGAGACTCAGAGCAGCTTCCAAATTGGCAATCATTCAATGCTGCATTAAATATTAAAAAATACAATATCATACATATAATGGCCATCAAAACAATGGCATAGCAATACAATGCATAGACTTGGAAGCATCGTACGTAGACCTGGCATCATAATCCAGAAGCTGATCCAAATTCCGTTCATATATGTATACACACACACACACACACACACACACACACATATATATATCTTTTGGGGTTGGAGATGGAAGGACGGGGCAGTGGTTGTGTTGTGCTCTGCCTCCCCATCCTCAAGACAAGGAGAGATCGAATGGTGTTAATCCCAAATCATCCTGGGATTGCTGAGCTGAGTCTGGGCAACATTCTCCTCCCATTGCTTCCTCTTCCCCTTCCTTCTGTTGCTCCTGGCCTTGGGAAGTTAACCTTGTTGGCTAGGAAGAGAGGATGTGAAGGAAACAGCTCCGTCTGCAAGCAAAGCCCGGTCCTCAACCCCCATCGTTACGTAATCTCAAGAGAGGAGAGAAATATCAGAAGGGTAAAAGGGGGGCAATGCAGGCAGAAGCAAATCTTCATCATTTTCGATTGGGCCATTGCAATTCCTTCCAGGAGGATGCAACGTCGATGCAACGTTGCTCTTCTTGCAATGATGCAATGTTCGGCATCCCCGGGTCTTATTATTTTCCACCTCTTGGGCTTCTCTCAGTGCTTTACAGGAAGGCAAAAAGTATATAAATCAATAAGAGAGGAATGGAACAGGACCAATGGGGTCGGCCGCATATCAATGCGGTGTCAGTGCCTGGAAATGTGTTAGCGATGCACGGCACGTCCGCCAGCAAGATGCTCCCTCTGTAAGAAGAACAGTGCAGTCCCTGCCAGTCGTTGCTCGCTTGCGTCGCTGGTTGCAATCCATGCAAAGTGCAAATGCAAGGGAGAGAACACACCAGCACATCCTCCTCTCTCTGCCTCCCGGTTTTGCCAGGTTCCATGCAAGACAGTTCCACCTTGCCTCCTGTGCTGTTAATAATATAATATAATGTTATATAAAGTAATATATTATATTAATATAATATAATATATTAATATAATATATTGATATAATGTAATATATTAATATAATATAATATAATATAATATACTATACTAATATATTAATATAATATAATATAATATAATACATTATACTAATATATTAATATAATGGCGCTCCATGCAGTTATGCCGGCCACATGACCTTGGAGGTGTCTATGGATAATATATTACAATAATATATTATATTATATTATATTAATATATTATATTAATATATTATATTAATATAATGATGCTCCATGCAGTCATGCCGGCCACATGACCTTGGAGGTGTCTATGGATGATATATTACAATAATATATTACATTACATTATATTATATTATGTTATATTATATTATATTAATATATTAATATAACGGCGCTCCATGCAGTTATGCCGGCCACATGACCTTGGAGGTGTCTATGGATAATATATTATATTATATTATATCATATTATATTAATATAATATATTAATATATTAATATAACGGCGCTCCATGCAGTTATGCTGGCCACATGACCTTGGAAGTGTCTATGGATAATATATTACAATAATATATTACATTATATGATATTATATTAATATATTAATATAATATAATATAATATAATATATTAATATAACGGCGCTCCATGCAGTTATGCCGGCCACATGACCTTGGAGGTGTCTATGGATAATATATTACAATAATGTATTACATTATATTATATTAATATATTAATATAAAATATTAATATAATATATCAATATATTATATTAATATATTAATATAATGGCGCTCCATGCAGTCATGCCAGCCACATGTCCTTGGAGATGTCTACAGACAACGCTGGCTCTTTGGCTTAGAAATGGAGGTGAGCACCACACCCCAGAGTCGGGCACGACCTGGCTTAATGTCAGGGGAAAACCTTTACCTTTACTTTACCTATATTATATTACATTATATAATATTATATTAATATATTATATTAATATAATATATAATAATATAATAATAATTAAAGCACTGAGCTGCTGAGCTTGTTGACCAAAAGGTCACAGGTTCGAATCCGGGGAGCGGCGTGAGCTACCGCTGTCAGCCCCAGCTTCTGCCAACCTAGCAGTTCGAAAACATGCAAATGTGAGTAGATCAATAGGTACCGCTCCGGCGGGAAGGTAACGGCGCTCCATGCAATCATGGCGGCCACATGACCTAGGAGGTGTCTACGGACAACGCCTGCTCTTGGCCTTAGAAATGGAAATGAGCACCACACTCCAGAGTCGGACACAACTGGACTTAATATCAGGGGAAAAACTTTACCTTTATCTTGTATATTGCATGTAATATTACTAATAATATTACAATATAATGGTATAATACAATATAGTAATATATATATATATAATACTAATATTGTGCTATGCTAATAGTATAATATATTGTATGTGTATATATATCTTGTAAGCCGCTCTGAGTTCCCTTCGGGGTGAGAAGAGCGGCATATAAATGTCGTAAATAAATAAAATGATAATAAGACCTCCAAGATGGAGGGGATTTGTTGACGAGGAGGAGGGAGGCCAGGTGGCAAGGCAATGCAATGCGGTTTAGCATCATCATCGTTGGGAGAACCCTTCTGGTGGGTGAAGGGCATTCATTCATTCGTTGGTTGCTTCTCGGACCTTTCTGTCGTGACACTGCAACATTTGGGAATTCCCTCCTCTTTGTGTGACCTTCAGAATAATAATAAAAAACCTTTGGAAAGAGCAGATGACTGCGGGGCTCCTG